AATGTCTGTTGCAAGTGCTATACAGCAGCAGCAACAGCAACAGCAACAACAGAATCAACATATACTAATGGCACACGCTCAACAGTCGTACTATCCGTCGGCAGCCGATCAACCAAGTCAAGCCGGATACTATTCGACAGCTGCAACGAATCGTATGATGTTAGCACATCCAGCATCGTTATCTCAGCAACAACAGCAAACACAACAACAGGCACTGCATCAACTGCGCGCACAACAGCAGCACCAGCAGCAACAGCAACAGCAGCAACAGCAACAACAACAACAGTCACCATCAGTGCACAGTACAACTTCAAGTGCTAACGACTGGCCGAATACAGCATCGCCTGGTCGTAGTACACCAAGATACCCAAATAATCAACCATTGTCTCAAGCAGTACCAAGCTCACAAAACAGCAACAGTAACAATTATGCAAGCGGTGGTAGTAGCATACAAATTGAAATACAACAAGTGAGTTGACGTGTGATAATTCTTGTTCATTTCTTGTGCAATTAAGATTTGAATAGAGAAAGACTATTGGCATGAAACTCGGAATGAGTTGGTGAATAAATGAAAGAATGAATAAATTGATCGTTCAGTGTCATTGAATAAGTATTACTAATTTGATCGAATTCAGGTTGAACAACAACTTCAAACAATGTACGATATACCGAATCGTAATCTACAAACCGCTCAACAAATCGAGCAATTGCAATTACGATTGCAATATTTGCAACAGTGTTCGATGAGCGAATGTCGTGGTGGTGACCCATCCCAGCCTCAACATCTATCCAACGCACCATCACAGCAACAGCAGCAGCAACAACAACAAAGGTCTGGCGGTGATCAACAGCAAGCCCAAAAACAGCAACAACAACAACAACAGCAGCAACCTGTATCTGTTATGCGTTCAGGCTCACAAGTTCAGGTAATGACAGATAGCTCTTTTTCAAATGAAAGTTCTCATTGTCAGCAAGTATTCATTGATTACTTATTCCGTCCAGCTCATTCATTATTATTTGATGATTATGAGCAACGAATCATTCAGTTTATCGACTTAATTTATTCATTCTCAATTTACGACAATGGCAGTAAGCTTGTTGCTTTTGCTGCCAACATAATATGATGGTACTAATGATTGTAGCGATCACATTGATAGTGGCAGGACTGATAGTACTGATAATAATGGTAGTGAGTATGATGATAAGCTATACTTGTAACGTAGTTGTGAACGAGCAATTCATTAGATAGAAGGCAAATTATAGCCTGAGTCAGGCTCGTGATATTGGTGCATCATTTTCATGTTCATGTTGTGCGCGCATTGGCAAGCAGCATCAGAGTGTGTTTAAGGTAAACATAAAGCCAGATGTGCCAGGAGGACATACCCTAATAAGCGTTTATCATCAGTATCCCACAAATACGCCGCCAACCCCGTCGAGCGCACCGAGCGATCGATTGACCCCGAAGGATTGTATACCACCCGAACCGATCCCATCGACAATGCGACGAAACTCAGTGGACGAGCAGCAAACGTCGGCGTTGATGAACAATTCAATGATCAATAATGGTTAGTTCTTTTTGCTTTTTTGAATGACTGATTTCGATTTTTTGTTTCTTGTTTGGTACTTTTCGATCGAACGATTTCAGTAGTTTTTGCTTGGCATTTTTTAATCTCTCATTGGTTTTGAGTTGTATATATGCTTATATTGTTATCTGGACGTATCTATTGATCTATTTTTTCACTTATTATTTGCCCATTTAATTCTTGATTGAACAAGCAAAGTGATTACCCTTATTATACGTGAACTATAATGCTTTCTTGTTACGTTCTCAAATTATTTTAGCATCAGCTAGCGAAACTTTTATCATGATAGCGAATTTAAGGAGTGCGAAAAGTTATGAAATTTCTAATGAAGTATGTGACTGTTTTCTCAGTCGCAAATATTTTCCTCACGTTTCATAGAAAAATGAGTCTTGAAAGGTGTTCTGGTATTTTATGATAATCATGACAATCAATTCTTTATGAGTCATTGATGTTTTTTGACTTCTGAGCCTACATGCTAACATGTCTATCGCTATGTAAACGCTAATATCGCTTGTGCGTAAGCTATACTCTGACCAGAATTCAGTAATTTCCGAAGACCCTAGCGATGACATTCTAGTTCTGGATTGTATCACTTTTTTTTGTAAATCCATGCAATGAAGTGAAGTGTGAAGATGACATTATCATTATTAACATAGTGAATGCGCTATCTGATTTTGATATGTAGGCATTTGTTTGTGGAATTCTTTGAATTGTTCAAGAACTGTGATCAGCGCATTATAGTTTGTGTCATGACAAAATGTTACATCAAGTCCGTTCCTTCTTTGAGTCTGAAGCAAGCAATTATAATTGCACGCAAACCACAAATTATAACAATTCAACGTTTATCTGCTACAGTCATACTTCATATAATTGTTGGTGTTTGTAACAGACGAAGTGTATAGAATATTATGCATGAGTGGAAATGCAATGTTGCGTAATTGAATGAAATTTATCGATTGGACATTAATAGGATAAGTTTTCTGAATGTTATAGAGGATACAAATGAGAGTAATTGGACTGTTTCGTGTTTTTAGTTTTTGCGATGCTTGAATCGATTGTAAGATATGTTCATATCTCAAAGTGGGGATTGTTGAAAATTCTCTTAGGATTCGTCGAGTCGACTTGAAGTACCAGGAATATGAGATTATTTGTTAGGAAAGCAATGATTTTCCGATCCAGTAACTGCGCATTTTGAAAGGTTATAGGAGAATGAAGTGAGCTGAGAAGGAAATGAAATAGAGTCATTGCCATATGATTCATAAGAAACAACGCTATGAAAAGGCTTCGTTTTACTAATTGAATGAAGTCATTTTGTTGATTTGCGAATATTTTTGAAGTGGATATTGATTAGACATTGATATTCATTCTTTATTGCCTAGGCATTGATATTCATTCTTTATTGTCTTTATATGAGAATTTTTAGGTCATTGTATGTTTTTGTGCATACTCTTAGTGCAGTTTGCTGCTGTTTATGAGTAATATTACTTGAATTATACGGAAAATTATAATTATATGCGCAAACAGAATGATTTTAGTTATAAATATAAGCATAAAACTGGAATCCGAATTAAATTGGTAAAAGGGCCATAAGAATGTTCACGTATTTATTTCGTTTCGTAATATGAGGACAGCCAACATTAATGGGTTAATAACTGATTCGAAAAAAATGAATGAAAGAAGCATAAACGATGCATATTAGCTGNACAAATGAAAAACTAATATCTATAATGAAACTGAAATTTTGAATAATCGAAACACGGTATATGAAGTAAAATTAGTGAGTATTACACGGTAATAATTGTGGGTATTGAAGTATGACTGCTGAATGTAATGAATGAAAGAGGATTATAGCAGTAAAAATAGATATTGAGTTTGATATGCGTCATTCATTGTTTAATGAAAATGAAATTGGAACAAACGAACTTAGAATACGGTATTGTTGGATGTTTTATACTTGCTTATTAGTTGATTTGTTGGCAAATAATGTAAATCTGATTCAGTGTGGATGTTATTTAGGGAATGGTTTGATTCACTTGCAGTGACTGAAGAAAATAAAAGAAATGAACGAAGTTACTATAGTAACGCTAGCGATATAATGAATGAAATGAGGCAATATGAAATTTTTGAATGCTTTTGAAATTTCTTTTAAAAAAAGCTTTATTGAATCTGATATATTCAAAATTTTATTGCATCTTTCAAAATTGATTTTGTGTTCATATGGATAATGACAGACTGAATATGAGAGGAGATAATGAATCGTATCATTTGCTTTTGTTTTATTTAATTTATGGTGATTAATTATTATTTTAGAAGAATTCAGCTCAGGTCACACTAATTTTTGAAAAGTTGACTTGAAAGTATTGGTGAGATTCAGGGATTCGTTTTTTAAAATTTTGATTTAAACAGCGAGGAAAGTTTCGTCGATATATTTGGGATGATGGCGCGAGGGGAAGGGGAAATATTTGTTGAGATGCGTTTTCTTTTTAAAATTTCATTCATGTACATTTTGTTTATTTGTCGAGTTTGAGTTTAAGAGCATTCATTTGTGATAGATTTTCATTGAATGGGTTCAATTTCGCTTTGTTTTATTCTAATGGAAGCAATCAGTTGGCTGTGACATCTTTTTTTTGTGAAAAAGGATGCAATTGAATGTAGAAAATTTTCAGAAGAAACGGATAGAATTGGTGAATAATAACTGAATTACAGGTTTGATGAATGCATCAACAGGTAACGCTGCCGGTGGTGGAATGAAAACATACGGAAGCAATTCAGGAGCAGCAACAGCAGTATCTAATGGCGGTTCTTCACTAGGTAGTGGCGGCGTTGGGCTTTCGAATAGTGCTATGATGGGAGGTGGTGGTGGGACTGCGATGACGAAGAGCGGTGTGTTGCCAACGGAAACATCCAGCGGAATCGGAATGGGAATGCGTAGCGCAATGCATTCGTCGGTCAATATAGCAAGAGGAGGGGGTATGATGAGTTATTATAGTTCGGAACAACAGCAACAGAGCAGCAGTATCACCTCTTCAACAAACGCCCAAAAACAGTCTTTGATACAACAGCCACAGCAGCAGCAGCAGCAGTTACCTCATACTCCAAATCACCAGCCGTTCGCTGGCTCTCAACAACGTGAGGAGTCTCTTCTGAGCAACACGAGCGCGATTAGCGATGAGCTCCCACCTCAAACACCAAACGCAATGACGACATCTTCAATGGATTCTGATGTATTAGCAACAACCGCAAATGTATCGCTTCCATCAAACCTGCAGCCATCCATAAAACCCCAACAACAATGTGTAGCCGAATATCAGAGCTTATCACCGGCAACACCTGAATCGCAGTCATTACCGAAAAGTCCGACGGATCATTTCTCGTCGAAAGTGGACGAGCCGCATCGAATGATGGCTGCTGCTGCGGAAGAAGGCAATGAAGAAGTGGAGAGCAGAGGAGGATTGCGACAGAGTGTGCGAAACGAGCCACAACACGATGATGATGATGAGATTGCGATGAGTGAAGAGGATACCACTACGACAACGCGAAACGAAAGGCATTTTGCTGCTGTTGCTGCTGCCACCACGATGGGTCATCGAGAAGGGTCCAGAACGAAACCGACTGAAGAAGATACGGAAGACATTTGTGAGTTTACACTGGTAGCGGCGCAGCCATCGTTTGATGAGTCTTCACCGTCATCAGAGTCAGCGAGATCGTCCGCAGGCGGCGGCAGAACACATCGACATCATGAAATCAAGTCACATCATGAAGAGTTGTTGTTGTTGGATCGCAAGAAGTCTTCTTCACAAAATCTGGAGCAGCATATGCTACTTCAACAGCAACACCAACATCAACTACAACAACAGCATTCCGAACCTGAACTTGACGATTCAACCACTGAACAGAAACAAAACATCACGAAAGGTAACGACGACGGTTGTGGAGCGATGAAAATCGAGTTGGAAGAATCGGTATATGAGGCATCCTCGTCGTCGTCTACATATGAAGTTCAGCAGCCGCCTAGAGCGACATCAACTGAAGAGGATGACAAGGAAAAGTTTATGATGTCTGCAGAGACAACGTCACAGCAGAACGTTTCTGAAAAAGTTAGTTTGAAGTGTTGCGTTTTGTTGTTCTGTTATCTTAGTTATTTGAATAAGTCGTAATTTTTGTGACCGAACAATTAATTTCTGGAAATAGATGCGCATTCACACTCAAACACTCGTGCATTTTTGATTGTTGGATGATTTCTATTCCAATTAAATGTTAGCAGCAGCTTGTATGATCAAGT